GTGGTTCCCACTTAGGTATAAGTGCACATGCTGTCTAGAACTTCCCTAAACGATGCTTTTTACCCCAAAAAGGGGCTTTCTGCTGGATTTAGTCTCTAGAAAGTGGATAGCAGACATTTGCTCTTGGTGATCCGGTTGACTAACCTCCGGGAAAGGGAGGACAGTTGGCAAACCCGGGGAGTCCAGCCTGGGGAATGGTCGTTGCACTCCTGCATCTCAGCACCACCCCACTCCCACCGCAGTGCCTCCCTAGGAACCATGTTTGCAATTGGTGAAATCTGTCCTTTTATAAAATGAAAAAATATGTCCTCAAGGTAGGACATTTCATCAGCCATCCCAGGAAAATGAAAGTAAATACAGGAAAACAAAATTGAAATCTATTAGCAAGCTCTGCTTCATGCGCAATGACTTGCTTTTGGCAGAGAGCCAGTCTGAAAGGAAACTTTGTCCATCCACTTTGCTTTAAATGCTTCCTAATCATGTTTTCAGTCAGTCTTCTGTTTCTTTAGTTTTAGAACACACAGTTTTCTCTAAAGACATATGCTTACAGTTTGCATTGCATGTCCTCCAAACTCTCTGGAATATGGTTAGCTACTGAAATAACTTGCCCATGACAATACATACTATAACCGTATCTAGTGATCCCCTTTTAATGACTCGGAATTATTGTCACTATCTGTTCCTTTTCCTGCATTCTTATCTCTTTTTTAAACTATTTTCTCCTCCTCTTTTTAATAATTGACACACTCCTGTCTTTAAATACTATTTTATCACTTTCTCTGAGTACTTGACATACAACTGATCCTTAGACGGAATGATGAGGATGGGTGCAGTGGCTCATGCCTGTGATCCTAGGACTTTGAGAGGCTGAGGTGAGTGGGTCACTTGAGTCCAGGAGTTTGAGACTGGCCTAGGCAGCATGGTAAAACACCATCTCTACAAAAAATTCAAAAACTAGCCGGTGTGGTGGTGCATGCCTATAGGTGGAGGATCGCTAAAGCCCAGGAGGTTGAGGCTGCAGTGAGCTGTGATGGCACCACTGCACTCCAGCCTGGGCGACAGAGTAAGACCTTGTCAAAAAAAAAAAAAAAAAAAAGAGTGAGGGAGGACACAAAGAATGGTGCTCTCTGGCATCTTCTCACATGCATGCTGGTGGGCTGCTTCTGGACTGAATTCCCACCTGCAGGGCTGGATTCCCTGCTGGGCCACCCAGGGGGGATTAGCATCTCTTTGAGCCCCAGGAATAGGACTCTGCCTTGTAATAAATGCTTAATAAGTGTATTTAAAGGATTAACATCAAAGTCCAACTTGTGCTTCTGCATGAAAAAGTCCATTTCTGGAAAAACAACGTTTCTAGTTTTAATTGTTCCAAAGGCACTGGGGTTGGCACCGGTCTTGGAAGCAGGGCAGCCCTCAGCAAAGTGCTTCAATGGGTATAGTGACTTCATAGTTCTCAAAGCTCTCCACGTCCCCTCCCCTGGTGTCCTCTCTCTGGTCCTCAGTCACTCAGGCCTTTTTCTTTGGCTCCTTGCTATGTCTGACATCCAGGTAACATTCGTGCTCCTGATGGTTTCCATCAAAATGTGGGCATCTGTCCCTGCTCCCCTCAGGCAGGCCTTGCTATGGGCTTTCCATGACAGTAGGAAGCAAAGTAGAAGCCGAATCACGGTCTGCCCCACACCCTCTCAAGTCCCAGCCTCTGACCTCCGCCAGACCCTCCTTAACAAACACAGCATCGAGGTAAGGAAATGAACCTCTGTGCTACCATTTCTGCCTGGAGTTCTCCTCCACTGCCAGTCCTCCCTTGCCCCGTGACTTCTAACTCATTCTTCAAGATGTAAATCAAAATTTAATGACTCCTCCTGCATGCCAGTGGCTGCAGTTTGCTCCAGTCCCTTGGCACTGTGCACTGTTCCTCTGCAGCACACTTCCTGCATTGTATTGCACTTAGTACTTTATGTGATTATCCACCACGTTACACTGGGAGCCATGCCTTTTTCATCATCGTTTCCCTGACGCAGAGCACAGGACCTGGCCTGCACCATAGTTTATTCTTAATAAACATGCAAGGAAGAAAGACAGGGAAGGGAGATGTGGCTGTGGGCAGAAGAAGGCAAGGTTAAAAAAAAAATGGCAGCTTCTCATTTCTCATTTGTTTTAACATTGGCTGAGATGCAATGTCAATGTCATGTCTGAATGCAAAAGAGTGGTTGAGATTAAAAGAAGAGCGAATGTGGACATGAGGCAGTTTTGGGTTCATTGGATTAAAATTTAGGATTAGAAAGGCTTGAAGACTTCCTTCAGGTCATTGGGGATACCATTTCCTCCAGCTCTGTGGATCACAGGAGTGTTGAGAACTCAGTGACACTGACTTACTCACCGTGTTCCTGGCTGGACTCGAACTGGTGTGAACTTTTTTCAAGCAATTTCTAGTGTATGATAGACCAACCAAAGCCCAGTGAACACAGAGCATTCTAGCATTCCATGAATCTTACGGAAATGGTGAGTTAAAAAGGACTAAAGGGCTGTGTGGTCCTTGCCGAAGCCACTTTCCAAAGCAGTGATCACCCCGAGTCTCATCACAAGCAACATCAGCCCTGGCCGTGCCCTCACCCTCAGAGTCCTTGACACAGCCGGCAGCAGCCTGCTGGGAGGATTTCCTTCCACACAGTGATGACATTCAGCTAAGCCACAGTTTCCCTGACCCGGGTGGAAACCCGTGTGGTTTGGGGTTGGTGGAATGGATGAGCAAGCGCAGATTTTTTCCCATTGCCGGAGGGCTTTAAATTGCAACCTCTCTTTTAATTTTCCATCATGCACCAAACACATCTGTGCCAGAACTGGACAAATGCATTCTGTCTGGGAGGATAATCCCAGACAGCTATAAATTAGAGTTTGTGTTCAGAGATTCCAAAAATGTGACCTCGCGGTAGGGTGTCCCTGGGACCAGTCACCTCCTCCACAGTCTGCTCGGTGGCTGCTGGCTTTGGCCTGATGCCTCTGTCAATAGATTTTGCCTTGTATTTGGAAACTCTGTCTTTCCGTCAAGTCGCCACAGAGACGAGGGCGAGCAGTTTGCCTGAGAGGCTTTGCTGCGCAGAATTGTCCCAGGCAGGCTCCCAGTGCTCTTAGGAGGACTCTAGGTGCTTGACCAAGGGCATTGCTCCCTTTCCTGCACAAGAACAGCAAGGACCTCAAAGCTAGTGTCCTCCCAAGTTAAAGCATGGCCCAAGAAGTCTTTCCCCACGTTTTCTGGATTGAACATAGAAACTACCGTGTAACACTTTAAAAATATATCTTTAAAGTTACCAGAGAAATACATGCTTAATGCAGAGGACTTAGAAAATATACTGAGAAGGAAAAAAGTCACCTGGAATCCTGCCTTTCATAGATATTGTTAAAGTTTTAGCAAGACTCTTTTCAGTATGTTTCCATGCTGTGCCACCCTTTTTTAAATGCAGAGGTCTTTCAAAAGCTGATTGATCCCAATTTCTTCAGTTGCCCTCATTATGCAACTAGTGCTTTCCCCTGAGTACTGGAAACTCTTAGTTATTCCACAAGGGAGAGTCCAGCTGGTAGAACTCTGCCCCTCTGACTCCTCCTCCTCACAAGTCACACCACTTTTCTGAAGAAGCTGACCACAAAGGGGATGAGTCTTGGGGGATAGAAGGGGAAGAGGGATAAAGTCTTCGTAGAAATCTAGCCGGATCATCTGGAAGGGTAGTGCTGGCACTACCTTCTTATAAGCCGCCCAGCAAGATAGACGTCTCCTATGTAAAAAGGACTGTGTTGTCTCTGGTGCTGTTTTTCCTTTTCAGACCTCGGCTTCTCTGATTTCCATCCTCTACGCTCCTGTTCTCAGCATCTGTGTGTGTGCTCGGCTCTGTTTGGGAAGGGGGAGCCTCTCAACTGTTCATTTAGTGGTAGGCTTGGGCAGCCCAACAGCAACTGGATGGGCCAGCAGAATTAGGAGGTTATTTTTATACCTCTACTTACTTTCCCATGGTGCCCTGAGCCCAGAAGGTGCCCAGAAAATATCTGTTGATGGATTGATACAGTGAAATTCAAGAGTGGTGTTTATGGAGGGAGAATACCATGGCTAGAGCCTACTGGCATGCAGCAGTGACAGTCCTGAGATGGCAGAAAGGGCTTCCAACTTCCATGCCGAGCCTCACAAAAGCCTTCAGAGTAGGGAAGGAGAGGAAGCTGGGTGATGACTCTACCAGCTGCCAGCCTGCCCAGCCAGTGCCTGCGCCAGCCACTCAGCCTCTCTGTGAACCACACAACACACAGACCATGCTTTTTCAGAAAATTATTTTTTCCTTTCTCACTTTCCATGGAAACTCAAAATAGCAACCAAAAAAAAAAGACTGGGCTATCTCCCTACCAGCAACACCTTCCCCATTCAGAGCAGTGGCCATAGAGGAAGGGGGGAGAGGGTTACAGATGCCCTTAAAACAACTTTCTATTTGGGGACTGCACTCATGAGGTGTGGGTGGGTTCTGAGGTTGAGGTTGCCATATTTTCTTCCCATTTAGAAAAGTGGGTTTCCCCCAGGTCTCGGAGTTCATCTTACTCTTGGTGACCTGGTGGCTAAGGTGTAGTCGCCTCTCGTGGTGTGGGTGAGGAGATCCGATGTGCCCAGCAAGGAACAGAAAGGCAGGGGGCAGATGCCTTCCAGAGGGAGTGTTATTGGAACATTGCTTTTGAGACACCTCCCTGGCTGTGCTGTGTGTGCCCCATAACCACAGGATAGCCTGGCATCATGGAAAAACGCTGATCTCAGAAATACCCAGTCCAATGTCACATCAAGGGTCTGAAGGCCTTCGTGCACATTACTTCACCTCTCTGAGCCTCCATTTTCTCCCCTATAAAACGGGAAGGTTGGCTTAGGTGATTTCTAAAGGTATGACCTGTCAGCATCCTGTGCCTCAAGCCTGCTCTTGGATCTGTGCATGCTCTCCCCTTCCACTGTCAACACAGTTTCGTTTGCCTTCCAGCTGGCTGGATCAGCCGTCATTGCTTTTGGACTATGGTTTCGGTTCGGAGGTGCCATAAAGGAGTTATCGTCAGAGGACAAGTCCCCAGAGTATTTCTATGTGGGTGAGTGACTCCAGCTTCCCTAAGCTTCTGCTTGGAATAGATGGGGCTGTGCAGAGGCTTAGGGCAGAAGCTGCACTTGAACTTTGGTGGGAGGGGGAGGGAAGAGGGGCAGGGAAGGAGCCCCTGTGCACTGGTCTAGCCCTCCGGGATACATGCTGGAAACAGGTAGGGTGCTGTTGTGACCCCTTCCCCTTGACCTCACACAGTCTACCCCTTCACTCTCCAAAATCAAGAGAGGCTGGGCCAGTAAGAGCAGCCTGTTGTGCTTCTTTTCAAGAAAAGAAGTCTCAAGGAAATGCAGCTAAAATGCACTTCAAATAATGAGAAAGCTCCCTATTGCCTCAGAAATAAAGTGGGTACACCACAAGTGTGTCATTCCCTAGCCCATTTGGGGTGACACAGGACCCCTGCGGGATTTTATTTGGTGCTCTTCTATTTTAAATTGTATAGGTAAAAACATAACTCAAAGTAAAGGTTTGAAGGTGCTAATCTCAGTCTCCCCATGACTAGGGACTGCAGAGAGGAGGGGAGGTGAGAGAAGAAGGAGGGAAGGGAGGGATGGAGGAAGAAGAGATGAGAGGGCTGCCCTGGGAAGAGGCTCCAGTGGGAAGAGGCAGTAGCTCTGCCCCTGCAACAGTAGGAAGGGGTGAGGAGTGTGGAGTAGGGTGCACCCCTAAGGCTGTGCTCTTAGTAGGGGCTGAGCATTGTTGCCCTGGGATTAGTTGACCTACTTCTAGCAACTCCTGTGGCCTTTTCTCATTCTCCAGCTAAGTGGACTAGGACTCTAGATTTCAAAAAACCCCGACATGACGGGCTGTTTTAGATCTTCACCAGCCGTAGAGTAAGCCTCAGTTGCTGTGGTGACAGCTATGCCAGGGAGGAGGAGCATCCTGCACAGGTCATTTGCTCTGAATCGAAGGAAGAGTGGAGTCTCTTCCAGGAGAGAGAGGGAGAGTGCAGGCCCCACTCAGAGCAGGGAGGTCCTCCTGAAGGGCTGGCCCGCAGCTGTGCTGCCTCTTGTTACAAACACTCTTCCCACACAGCATCCTTCTGCGAGAAGAAGAGCTGTGTCAGTTGTGACGCTTTTAGAGGAGAGTAGCAGAAAATCTACTAAAGATAGGTAACAACAAGGACATTCCACATTTCAGGAAATCTTAGCTGTGGCTCTCTGTAACGCTCAATTTTACTTTAGGTTCCACTAAGAAAGGAAAAAATGCTACCAGTTTAGCTATGACTTACCATAAAAGATGCATTCTAATTTCAAGATTGTTAAAATATACACACAAAAAAATACATCTTAACAGTGATGAAACACAGTAAAAGGAGTCTGGAGATGGGGACTTTCTAGAATTAGTTTAGAGCTGAACAAACTCATCAAGGACCCAGGTTCTTACCCTCTCTCTGCCATACTCAGTGTCTTTAGATGTCTCCCCTCATGATTAAAAGATAGCTGCAGTGGCTCCAAGCATCATATTCTCATACAGCAACATCCAAAAGAGAACAAAGAAAAGTTCGTCTCATATAGTCCCTTTAGGAATGAGTAAAACCTTTTTCAGAATCTCCCAACACATTTCCCCTTGCAGCTTATTAGCCAAAATTGCATTCTGTATTCATGCCTAAACCAATCATGGCCAAGAAGTGAATTACTCTGATTGGATCTCTGACTAATTGATATTCACACCCTCCCACCCTCCCCTGGGCCTGAGCCCCCCACAGGACCTGTGACACTTGGAAAAGGTTGGGATTTTGTGACAAGGAAAAAGCAGAGGAATCTGCTGTAGACATAAAACTGAAATGCTCCTTTCTACCCGCATGGTCTCCAGGAGGTATGTGCCCTTCCATGGACACACACTTAGCATATTCTTCCCTGGGGGACTCCTGGCTCTGAAAACCTCCCCAGAACCATTCTCCTAGTCCAGAGCAGGCCCCGAAGTGTTACAAGAACGAAGTCAGTCTGTCCTTGCCCTGTGCCACCTCTGGGAGTCAATGAGCCCTCCCCAAGGGGCACACAGGAGCCAGCAGAGGGGAGCGTGAGAGAAGGAACACACCCTCCTTCATGTTGCTCACATTCCAGGAACTGCTGGCTTCGTAAATATTCCCCACAGTTTCTAACTTAGGCGTAGCCTAGTCACAACTCAGTGGCCACTGATAAACCACAGCAAAGGCTGAATCCCGCTTTCACGGAATTCTTGCCTTCCCAGGCATCTATAGAGGAAATGTTCAGTGATCGATGGCAGACAACAGCCACAGTGTGTGGTAGGGCTGCATGAGCGTTCCTGATGTAACCACTGAATTAAAATGAAGAGAGCACCGGGAGTCGGGGGACAGGCCTCAGGGTGGCTGGGACTTGAATGGGGCTGAGGACAGGTAGGTTTTTGACAGACCGAGTTGGGGAGAGCTTTATTTATGACTGAATCAGGGTTGGCAAATATATGGCAGGCAGCCGCCATCTTCTCCCTTGTCTGTGGTGAATATGACTGACTGTTCAGGAGACTCTTCTAAGGAGTCTTCTCACCCCAGCTTTCTCTAACCACTTGCACAGGGTGAGCCTTATTTTCTCTCCTTACTTTGAAGTCACTGTTACTTGATATCCTCACATAAGATCAGTCCCAGGAACCAGGCGAAGTCTTTTGTTCCTGAAATTCAGTTATGTTGGGGTTGGGAGCATAGCATGGAGTCTGTCTGCTCTTACGTGCTACTGGGTTTGCTCTGGAAGCCTATTTATCTCATCTTCCTCAGGTGCAATCCTGAGACTTTCCAGCGAAAGCTGCATTTGTGCCCCTAGACTTCACAATTCAAGTTACAGTTTAAATTACATAGACCCCTAGGTCTATGGGGAGGAGTCCACCCTTGGTTAGAACCAGAATGTGGAAAAACACCAGCGAGCGCAGGTCCATCCACCAATTCTCCTTCAAGGTGTTTGGCAAGAACCTACTGCCTTAAACCCAGCCACCTACCCGCCCTCACTGCCAAGTTTGAGGTTGAAAGATTTAAATCTCTATCATATAATTTTTCTAAGATTGAACTGGATAATTTTCAGCAGTAGGAAGGAAAACCCATTTTTAAAGACCCTGAAGACTGGGTTAAGTGAATCACATCTGAAAAGAGCCAGATCTCTCTCAGTGATAACATCTGTCTATTTAAAAATCTCTGTGTGGTTATTTCACCTTTTTGGATTTCACCTGATATTTGATTTTGTGTTAACAGTTATGTGTTCAAGCAGAGGTGCCTCTATTCTTTCCACATTTAGTCAGTTCCTCCATTTGAGACAAAAAAATATAACCTATCAGTATAACCTAAATATAATCCACTGGACAGTGTTCACAGTCCTGGGCTCTGCCATCACACAAAAATGTGTAAGGATTCTGTAACTGCCCCCATGTAACTTGTAATATAAATGAAAAGACTCATAGACTTCACAATTTAAGTTACAATAAAAATTAACATGTGACTAACTGCCAACTAAGTGATATTTGCAGTGGGTGCATTAGAGGTCATTCTAAACGGGTAAGGAAAGAAGGATTTGAGTTAGGTTTTAAAGACCGAGCTGTAATCAATGGAGAAGAGAAAGAATGGGGACTGCAAAGGCTGAGGAGAGGGCTTAGCGAGCCGGGCGGGGCAGTGGGCTCTGTTGGAGTCTGAGGACTGGGGCATGATGGGCAGGACTCAGAACATTGGGGAGGGAGTGGGGACAAGTATAGAGGCCTTTGAATGTCAGGGTTAAGTTGGTAAACAGTAGAAGGATAATTAGGGGCCGAGGGTAAGGTATGATCTCCACTGCATTTTAAAGAGATCATACTGGCAGAAGTGGAATGAGTGAGGAATCCCAGGACAGAAAAAAAAGGCAGATTATTGATGCAGTCAGGCCTGGAGAAATTAGGGTATAACCTACAGTGGTTTGCAGTAGGAACTGACAAGAAAGAGACAGAAAGATAAGAAACAGTACTAAACATTTTTAAGTCTAACTAATCGAACTCAGGGACAGAAGAAATCAGAATGGCAAAAGATGTGAGTGAGAGGCAGAGTCAAGCCTCCCAGTAATAATTCATGACTTTCAGATGGAAACCTGAGTTACAGCTGTAAGTAAGGGGCCCCTGCTCCATCAGAGGAAGGGGCCATTGCGTAGAGCTACAGATGGAAGAGCAGCCTCAGTCTGTATTTCTCCAGAAACAAAAGGCTGATAGCCATTTCACAGCTCTGGATGTCAGTTCCCCATAAAAACCTGTAAGACTGAATACATCAAAAGGTTGAATAGATTCCAGAGATGAAAGTGAGCTCTCCTTCATGTCATATTTAACCACTATCGTGTCAAGAATCAGAATCGTGTGTTTCATTCAGGAGATCTCTGTGCTGAGCGGGAGGCTGAACTGACTCAACACACCCATTCCTGATTTTGTGTCTAATCTAAACCAAAGCAATATGCACACTGCCTGAGATACGAGGAATTATTCATTATGTCATACCTTTATGGACATGTCTGTCAAGACTCTTCCTACTGCAAATCACAGACACCTACTCAAATTGACTGAAGTGACAGACATTTATTGACTCACGTGCTTGAAAGGTGCAGGGTTAACACTGGTCTCAGGGACTCAGATGACGTGACCAGAGTCCAGTCTGGAGCCATCTCTTGGCCCTGCTTTCCTTTGGCCCCCTTCTTGGGCAGGTTTCTTCTCCATGTGACAAAACGGCTGCCAGTAGCTCCAGGCTCCATGTCCAGAGTGACTGCAGAAGTAGAACATGCTTCTTTCATTCCAACAGATCCATCTAATGCCCCAGGGCTACCTCTCATTGGCAATATTGGACCTCATGCACATCCTCGCACTTGACATTGTGGCCAGTTGCTTGTGGCATATGCCTGGGCTTCATGCCCACTGTGGAGCTGGAGGTGAGTCAGCCCTCTCAAACCACATGTGCCGAGAGTGGAGGTATTCCTTTTACCTAATAGAGAAAAAGAAGGGGATTCTGGGCAGGGAAAACAGCAGGCCACAGCAGGGCCT